GTCTGGCTCCTGCTCCATCAGCCAGGGCTCCCCGAGGCCCAGGCGGGCGGGGAGGGGGCGCAGGGCGGGCCTGCGCTGCCGTCTCTAAATACCTCGGGGGGTGGCCGCCAGGACCCCAGGGAGAGGCTCTGGGACCTGCCACCTATAGAGATTCCAGAAGACCCTGCACCTGAGAGAGGCTTCAAGGTGGTGAAGTTTGTCCCAGGTGACTTTTGAGTTGGGAGTCACCAGGAGAGAGCTGAGTGCCAGAGTGGGACCCCACGCTCCCTGGGAGTTTGGGGGTACCAGGCTCGGCCCTTGGGGGACTGGTTGAGCGCAGCTCTGCCTGAGGAGTCTCAGGAGGACACACTTTGACCTTGGGAGGCCTGGGGGTACATGGCCTGGGGACTCAGAGGACATGGCCTTCTGGAGGAGGGGCGCCTGTTGCTCTCCAGGGACCCCTGGGGCTCAGGGGAGACAGGCCCTGTTTCTTTGAGGGGCTTCTTCCTACTCTTCCCTGCAGAGTGCGGCCGAGTGCTCATGCAATTCCTGGTAGGCACGGATGTCAAAGAAGGCGAGTGGCCCTGGCAGGTGAGCCTGAGGGTCAACGGCACCCACGTGTGTGGAGGCTCGCTCATCGCGCCGCAGTGGGTGCTGACCGCCGGCCACTGTATTTTCAGGTGAGGGGTGGCGAGTGGAGGTGCGAGACTTCGGGACTTGGCCCTGCCCTCCTCAGACACCCACTAAGTTCTCTTGCCCTGGCAGGTTGGCAGAAACCAAACCCAAACCCAAAGCACGCACAGTGAAAGCGGGAGGGGCCCGCATTGGCGGTCTTGTTCTCTGGAATACTAGTTTGGCGAACAGAACCAATTGTTTGGGCGAGCAAACCAGTCCTGAGAGTGATCATGGAGGGGTTTTTTGGCGAGAGGGTGGTAGAGAGCGTGGTGCAGGAGGTTGGGGCCAGACTGGGAACCATCTGAAATGTGTGGAAAAGGCACAGGGGATGTGTCCTAGGGTCTCCACGAGGGGCATGTCCTCTCTCCCACAGCCGTGAGCAGTACAGTGTCAAGATGGGAGATCTGAGTGTCTATGAGACAGTCATGAGTGTGGTTGTGCCCGTCAAAAAAATCGTTAGCTACCCTCAGTTCTCGACACGTGGAGCCATTCGACATGACCTTGCCCTGCTCCAGCTTGTCTACCCTGTAAAGTTCACGATGACCATCCAGCCTGTGTGCATCCCTCAGGAGACCTTCAAGGTGGAAGATGGGGCCAGGTGCTGGGTGACCGGATGGGGCAGGAAAGAAGAATTTGGTGAGACTGCGAGGCAGGAAGCAAACTGGGGCAGAGGGAGGCAGCCTTTCCCCTGGACTAGGCAAGAAGATGAAAGGGAAGGGCGGCGAGGCGGACTGCCTGGCAGGCGGGTAAGGGGGCAGCGGCTTAGCAACAGGCAGGGTAATGGTTCACGATTGGCTTGAGCCCAGAAATTGGGCCATTTAGAAAAAGTGCCCGTCCTGGGAACTGGAGCTGCTGTCAGGAGGAGAAATACATGGGTGAGGTCTTCTTTGGCAGATTTGTGGGGAAACAATGCCTGGCTGGGTTGGGGATATTTTTAGGTTTTCCCTGGGGGCAGAGCCAGAGGCTATGTGCTCTCCAGGGTGGATTTCCACTCAGGNGGAAACAGTGCCTGGCTGGGTTGGGGATATTTTTAGGTTTTCCCTGGGGGCAGAGCCAGAGGCTATGTGTGATGAGCTGCCAGTCAGAACTGTCCCTCACCGAAGTACCTGCCTTGGTGGGTAGGGAACTCCTGTCCTTGGGGGTGTGGGCAGAGCCAGAGGAGGCTGTAGGGCCTCCTATCTCTGGGGAGAGGCTGGATTTAGAATCTTTGGGGCACTTCCTGTCCAAGAGGCTGTGACCCTGCTCTAAAGTAAAGACACTTTACTAAGGCACAGGGCACCTGTCTCTATTTCTAGAGCAACAGTCACTTGGCTGTCATGTGTCAGGCTGGTAAGGCCTTGCCTCTTCCTGTCCGGATCCATTCTTTCTTCTCCTGTCTTGGTTTTGGCTCCTACCTCCTCCTCTCCCCATGTCAGCTTTGGGCCTCAGTTTCCTCTGGTGTCAAATGGGGACAGTACCCAGTGTTCTGCCTTCTCTGAGGTGGTTCCTGGTGCTTGGGGGCTTACTGGCCACCCATGCAGCTCCACCCACTGCTGAGTTTCTTTGCTTGTAGGCCCTCCACTTCTTTCAAATACTCTCCAGAAGACCGACCGATACATCGTCTGCTCTGAATCATGTAATCATTTGCTCCAGATGTCCATACCAACCAGTGAGGATATGGTTCTGGAAGGAATGCTCTGTGGCTATAAAGGTGCAGGAAAGGATTCTTGTCAGGTAAGTTCATGGGCCCTTTTCTGCGTCTGCATTATGGTGGTTCCTTCAAAGCTTCCTCATTCCCAAGTGGCAGGGCCTGGGCGACGTCCTACCTCCCCCCCTCACCCTTAGTTAAGGAGATGCATGGCGAGAACCCCTCCTGACTCCTCTGAGCTGGCCCGGCCTGTTCCTTCAAAAGGGAGCGGCCCTCGCTACCTGGGGGCACTCCAGGGTGTAGGGAACATGGGGACAGGTAATGCTAAGAATATAAGTATACCTCCTCTGTGGTACTTACTGTGCCGGCGTGAGCATTACCCACACTAGCTCAGTGAGACACATCACAGCCCTACAGCAGACATCGTGCCCATTCTACAGGTGTGGTGAGGTCCGAAGGCATCAATTAGCTCAAGGTCTCCCTGTGAGTGCCTGCAGGCCTCCTGGGCCCACAGTTTGCCCTCTGTACCAAACTGCACCCCTGCAGAGGGGGCATTTTTTAATGTTTTTTATTGACTTCAGAGAGAGGAAGGGAGAGAGAGAGAGAGAAACATTGATGAGAAACATCGGTCAGCTGCCTCCTGCACGCCCCCTACTGGCGATTGACCCTAAAACCCGGACATGGGCCCTGACTGGGAACCCAACTGGTGACCTCCCGGTGTGTGGGATGGTGCTCAACCAACTGAGCTACACGGGCAGGGCTATAGGTGGCATTTGAGCCGGGTCTTTGAGAATGAGCGTTTGGAGCTCTTGGAAAGAGGAGAACAGCATTGTAGGGAGAGGGTGACTCAGAGGTTTGAGGGGACTTGCCACGTTTAGGGAACATTTTGCAGGTCTGGAGCAATGAGGTGGCAACTATGGACAGAGAAGAGGGTTGGAGTCAGAATATGTGTAGCCTGGAATTCTATGCCAAGTTTCTAGATGCTGGCCAGGCAGGACTGTAGGCTAGGGAAAGATGTCGAATCCTGAGCAGGACCCAGGGCAGTGGGGTGGGTGAAGGAGGTGTATTTAGGTTGAATCCTCAGTTCGTGGTGACTGCCTGCTGTGAGGGTGGGGGTGAGGGAGAGGCTGTTTCTGGCTGAGCTGGTTAGTGGTGGGGCCACCAGAGCAGGTTTAGGGAAGGACAAGAAGAGTTCTGCGTGCTCTGGGGTGTCTGGGAGTGGAGCTCATGCTATGGAGGGAGCTGGCTCTATGGGTGAGGACCTCTAGAGAAACTTTAGGCTAGATGAAAGAATCTGGGGGGCTCTCAGGGGCGATATTCAGAATGTTTAACAACCACTGCGGTTTGGGAAGTAACCAGTTATAATATCCTTGGAGGATATTAAAGTTTTCCCATTAACTTTTCAGTCCTCGGTTCTCATATGCACAGGAACCTGGGCCTGGTGGGAGCCTGGGGAAGGCCCAGCGTGGAGTCTGCCCAGTGCCACGCAGGGCCACCAGTTTGCTTGGACCTGGGTGTTCTCCCAGTCCTGCAGTTTGTTTCTTTGTCTTTCTCCAGGGAGATTCCGGGGGCCCCCTGGTCTGTCAGTATAATGACACATGGGTCCAGATGGGGATTGTGAGCTGGAGCGTCAACTGCGGTCAGGGAAACTTGCCTGGCGTTTATACAGACACTGCTATCTATGCTAAATGGATAGCTGCTGTGGTGAGCCGGGCTGCCTCCGCGTATCCAATGCTGTTCATCATTCCCCTGGGCATCCTGGTGACCCTGTGATCACCACAGCACGCTCTCCTCCTGCTTCTGAGTCACCCCCGAGGCCTTTCATCCCACTTCCCACTCCTCAGCGCCCTGCCCTCACATTCCCATTGGGACCCACTGACCCTGTGGAGAGCCACGCAACAGAGAGCAGAAGCAAGACTGCAGTCTCCAAAGTGTCCTGGCCTGGTGCTCCAGTCCCCTGCCTGCAACTGCTGGGAGGGAGAGGTGAAACCGCGCCAGCTCGAGGGCCAGCTGACCTGCCAGGTGGAGCAGGTGCTGCGTGGACAGCTTGGAGAACGTCTACCAAGGAAGAGACGTCATCAGCGGTGCACACCCTTAGACCTGGGTGGTTTCAGGCTCTCAGCTGACAGTTGGTCAAACCAGTCGGCTTGGTGATTGTCCAGAGAGAGTGAGGGAGGTGTCCCCCTGTCCCTGCCATGGTGTGATTTCCACAGGGCTCAGTTGTCTGGGGAGAAGTTCCCTGTACCCCAGTGTGGAACCACCTGTGAGTGGCCAGCCTCTGGCAGTGCCCTGATGGCTACATCCAGGCTCGCCCCATGTTGTGTTGAGACATGAAGGAGTGCGGAGATTTCTGACATCAGTTGATTAAACGTTTGGAGGGTGGCTTGTGTGTTCTGCATCTCTATTGGTCTAGGGTGTGGGGCCACCGAAGAGAACTTAGCGCACATTTATCTTAGGAAGATGCTCATGTGAATGGGGAGGGCCTTGCTTACCCTGATGTGAGCTCCACAGATGGTTCTAGCACTTGGGTCCCGTTGCATGCTCCTCAGCTGTCACCGTGTGCGTAGGGAGCTTTGTAACTGAGTTTGCTACCATCGCATGTGGGAAGGAGGAAGCCAGAGAGACTGGAAGCAAGAGGAGTCAGAGCATTGTGTCCAAACTGCAACCCTCCCCCTTTGCTGCCTGTTTCAGCAGCTGTCCCTTCTAGATATGTAGAGCTTTGAGCACCAGATTGCCTTGGCCAAGCTACGGAAGACACAGGGCCAAAGGCCAGAGAGAGGCTAGGCCGGGGCTCACGGTGTCTGCTGGCTCACTCCCCTCATTCCCCTCTGGCCCCAGAGGAGCTCCTGGCCAGCGGAGCAGAGCCTCCCTGCCCGTCCTGTCCCTGTTCATGAAGGCCTGAGGCTGCCTTCTCTGAGGAGGGGGCTCGTGAGGTTTGCACCTGAAAAGAACTCATGAGAATATTTAGGTAGGTG